TCACAACTGTAATGAGTTATTGGTGCAAATATTGATTGTTGAGTCACACACCACCACACACAACACACACACACACACACACACACACACACACACACACACACACACACACACACAGCATATGCATATGCAGCATATGGGCGCCTAGCAAACCTCAGAACAGCATTCCGACATCTTAATAAGGAATCGTTCAGGACCCTGTACACCGTATACGTTAGGCCCATATTGGAGTATGCGGCACCAGTTTGGAACCCACACCTAGCCAAGCACGTAAAGAAACTAGAGAAAGTGCAAAGGTTTGCAACAAGACTAGTCCCAGAGCTAAGAGGTATGTCCTACGAGGAGAGGTTAAGGGAAATCAACCTGACGACACTGGAGGACAGGAGAGATAGGGGGGACATGATAACGACATACAAAATACTGAGAGGAATTGACAAGGTGGACAAAGACAGGATGTTCCAGAGATTGGACACAGTAACAAGGGGACACAGTTGGAAGCTGAAGACACAGATGAATCACAGGGATGTTAGGAAGTATTTCTTCAGCCACAGAGTAGTCAGTAAGTGGAATAGTTTGGGAAGCGATGTAGTGGAGGCAGGATCCATACATAGCTTTAAGCAGAGGTATGATAAAGCTCACGGCTCAGGGAGAGTGACCTAGTAGCGATCAGTGAAGAGGCGGGGCCAGGAGCTCGGACTCGACCCCCGCAACCTCAACTAGGTGAGTACAACTAGGTGAGTACACACACACACACACACACACACACACACACACACACCACACACACACACACACACACACACACACACACACACACACACACACACACCCTCACACACCCGCACACACACCCTCACACGCACCCACACACACGCACGCACCACACACACACACACACACACACACACACACACACACACACACACACACACACACACACACACACACACACACACCACACACCCTCACATACACCCACACACACACACACACACACACACACACACACACACACACACACACACACACACACACCACATGCACACATGTGGTAATGCTTTATTTACAGCAGATCCACACAAGATGCCATTAACATCATTCTCAACTACATCCACATAAACACAGAACAAAGAAACAGGACAGCCCTGGTTGCAAAAGACTTTGAAAAAGCTTTTGACACTGTCTGGCACCAAGGGCTCAAGTACAAACTCTGCACTAACTTTAACCTGCCTCTCACTACTCGTAAACTCCTCTGCAACTTCCTAGACGGCCGTACCATGAGAATCAAATTCCAAGGCTGTTACTCTGACTACTTCACACTAAATGCTGGAGTACCCCAGGGATCTGTCCTCTCCCCTACCCTCTACATTTTATACACTAACGACATTCCAACACCTGTATACCAAAACTCCATTACACTAGCCTATGCAGACGACATTACACAACTTATCACTCATGCCAATATAGATACACTCACACACAAAACACAAAATGAGGTCGACAGGATAGCCATCTGGGAACAAAAAATGGAGGATCAAAACCAATGCAGCTAAATCCAGCATTACATATTTTAACTACAGAAAACGTGATCCTCCATTACCTGTCGAGCTCAGAACAGCTGACACCCGCCACTTACATTCCATGACACAATCTGTCACTGTCCTTGGCGTTAATCTTGACTACCTTCTACGCTTACACGGACACATTAACTCAAGGCATGCAATAGCTAGTAAGGCCCTTGCGGCCTCTACAAGCTGAAACATGCCCTCCTCAACGCACCAAACTACACCTCTACAAATCCCTTATACGTCCTCTGATAACTTACTCTCCTCTAGCCCTCTCTCTTGCAGCAAAAACAAACTTACTTAAACTGCAGCGTGTCCAGAACAAGGCGCTGCGCTGGGTGCTTGATGTCAGATGGGAAGACTTCGCCACATGCGAGTCTCTACATGCCCAGTTAGACATCCCTGCGCTGAATCTGTACTGGAAGACGCTCAGTGACAGACAGATTGACAAACTCGTGACACGACATGACTACTGGACCTCTCTCCTTGACGAAGACATTCGCAGACCCACAAACCAACACAACCTTTTCTACTCCTTGCATGATCCTGCTCCTAACCCTATTTACAAATAAACCTTGGATTCTCCGATAGGTACCTTCTATGACAGGTACCATTCTCTGATCCACGTTCGCCTTACCCTTCGGGTTAAGACATGGCTCAGTTCTACACTCCTCCTTCCCGCTCGCCCCACCGGAGTCCCAACAGAAGAGCCTTTTCTCTTCTCAATATCTGTCCCACGATCGCCTCGCTGCTGGGTTAAGCCCTGGCTCTATTTCTACGACTAAGAACACTCCTCTCCAGCACTGTTCTTCGTCTGTCCCGTCTTCCCCGCTCATCCCATTTGGCATCTTACCTGAACTTTCGTTCGTTCGTTCGTACCTCTGTTAGTGTGACTTTGTCAATGGTCCAAGTCGGACCGAAACGTCGTCGTAAGCTTCTGTCTTTTATGTGCGGGTTATTTGTGACTCCTGTTTAGATCCATCAGCGTATATAACTTGTGATAACTTATTACTACCAGCTAGGCGAGAAATTTCTTCTTGAGCAGTTACTTGCCCTTAATAAAACCAACAACAGAAAATTCAGTGCCGCTGTTTGTGAACAACAGACGTGTTTCCTCAGGAGCGAAGCGCCTGGCTCCGTTGGTGTTTAGGCCTTGAGATTCACCTGATCTATGCTGGGAATTTAATGTTCACATTTCTCATTACGGATGTAACTTTGTCTCTTTTCATTTTCGCCCAGATTTAGTTATATATTATATTCAGTTATTATATTATATTTACTTATTTCAAAAATAATAAAGCACTAATGATGCAATTGTAAAAATGCTAAATCTGCTTTACACAGCATTGGAAAATAAGGAATATCCACTAGGAATTTTTATTGACCTAAGAAAAGCTTTTGACACAGTAGACCACGGCATCCTACTCCACAAACTTGACCATTATGGTATAAGAGGCCACTCGCTTGCATATTTCAAATCCTACCTTACTAATAGATATCAGTATGTCACCATTAAAGACAGCCTCACCAACACGGAGTTCCGCAGGGAAGTGTCCTTGGACCCCTGCTCTTCCTCATTTACATCAATGATCTTCCAAACGTATCCCAACACCTGAAACCCATTCTCTTTGCTGACGACACGACTTATTTATTTATTTATTTATTTAATGTCTTTGCAGACAGTACATTGAGATTGTGTATATACAATAGTGGGTTGCAATGCAACCCCGTCAACTAACTACACGAATACCACCTGGTGGTTAACACTTACACTCACTCACCCATTTGACCATAAACAGAAATATTAATCTCAATCTTAAAATAATGAATCCTGTGATACTCCAATACTGAAACTATGTACTGTGCCAAAACAAAAGCATTCACATTGCTAAACTCACAAACTAGTATTTAGTCACTTAGCCATAATACCAACTTACCTCATAATTTGTAATATTTTAAAATTAAGAAAACTAAGTCTGCCCGAAATGCCTAGCCATGCTAGGTGTTCTAGTGGTACACTCTGTAATCATTATTTTACTACATGTAAACCACACAATAACCAAATTCTGTAAACTCAGCATTGTAATCCTTATAGAGAATAAACTTTGAATTGAATCTGAACTTGAAAGGAGTGCCTCTATTATGCCTAGGCATTATGGGCCAACTTAACATTATTGGCTTACATTCTACTTAATAATTCTACTTATGTCATCTCTCACCCTAATCTTGCCACCCTCAACACCATTGTTAATGAGGAGCTGCTCAAAATATCAACTTGGATGACAGCCAATAAACTTACACTTAACAGAGACAATACCTACTATATTATGTTTGGTAGCAGAGCAGGTGCTGTACAACTAAACTTTAAGATTGACAGCACTCTAATTGCCAGACATAATGAGGGCAAATTCCTAGGCCAATATCTCGACAACAACCTGAATTTAAGTATCCATATCCAACACATATCAAAAAAAGTATCCAAAACAGTTGGGATCCTCTCCAAGATACGATACTACGTGCCGCAAAATGCCCTTCTCGCACTATACCATTCACTCATTTATCCATACCTCACCTATGCTATTTGTGCTTGGGGATCAACTGCAGCAATACACCTAAAGCCAATAATAACTCAGCAAAAAGCCACAGTAAGAATAGTCACTAAATCCCATCCCTGGCAACCCCCCCCCCCCACTCTTCATAGATGTAAACATACTCCCTGGTCAGAACATCCACACTTACTACTGTGCAATCTACATATACAGGACTTTAAATTCCAATATTAACCTTGACCTAAAATGCTTTCTTGATAGTTGTGACAGGACCCACAGGCATAACACCAGACACAAACATCTCTATGACATTCCCCGTGTCCGACTAAACCTTTACAAAAATTCAATGTATGTCAAAGGCCCTAAAATCTGGAACACCTTACCTGAAAACTCTAGAACTGCAGACACATTCATCACCTTCAAAACTACCGTTAGAAAGCATCTTATCTCCCTGATACACCCCGTCAACTAACTACATAAAAACCAGCTGGTGGTTCACACTTACACTCACTCACCCATTTGACTATAAGCACAGAAATACATATCTTAATCTTAAAATAATGATTCCTAACTAGTCACAAGTTTGTCTGTGATACTCCAATATAGAAACTATGTATTGTGCCAAAACAAAAGCATTCACATTGCTAAACTCACAAACTAGTATTTAGTCACTTAGTATTTAGTCACTTAGTATTTAGTCAACTTACTCCACAATTTGTAATAATTTAAGGTTACGATTTAATCTAAGTTTGCCCGAAATGCCTAGCCATGCTAGGTGTTCTAGTGGCCCCCTCTGTAATTAGTATTTTATTACATGTAAACCACACAATAACAAAAATCTGTAAACCCGCATTGTAATCCTTACGGAGAATAAACTTGGATTTTGATTTGATAAGACACCGGAAGGAAGGCATCAATAAAGCGTCAGTTGTGGTAGCCCTAAATAACCCAACAACAACAAGTTGGTCTTCATTCGGATTTTTTTTTTTTTTTTTGATAATGGAAACTGACGAAGATTTTGCTAGGAAGTTACAAGCTGAGGTACGTGACGGTTTTTGGTTCATACACTTTAGGGAAACACCAAGGAAAAATGTTGTGATACATTAAATATTGATATAAATTTAGGTGATCTAGTTTTTAGAGATTTTACCACCGAAGTGGCTAGTTTATTGTGCACCCCATATCCATCCTGTGGACGGTAGCGCGAGAGCATATGGATACACAAAAGGCCTAGGAACTAGGCCCCAAAGGGTTAACAGGAATACATATGGATTTATATCTACATATCTATAGTTCACTTATCTGTTACAAGCAAATTTAGGAAATTTGCTTAGTATATCTGGTATCTTATTTTCATTAATAAGATATCTTGACATGTCACATAGGTTATTATACTGTCTGTCTCTGTATTCCTCAATAAGTGGACAATTAAGCACATAGTGTTCAAGAGAGTGACCATATGCCTGATCACATAATTTACATTTAGTTTGATCATCATCTGTGTGTCTCCCAAACTGCCAGAAGTACTTGTAACCAAGCCTAAGCCTGGCCACTACAACATCAGTCAGTCTGTTCACATTGCAAGTTGCTCCATAAACATACTTATCTACGTTCATGTTATCATAGTGGGTTATAGATCTACTCAGGCTTCTAACTGCATTCCTATAACAATCATTTTCATTATTTACTTCTCTCCTAATATTATTCCTAATGCTAGACACAGATATACCAACTGTGTGGTGATCTAGTGACAACTGGGACAAGACAAGATATCTAAACTGGGATAAGACAGCATCACATATTGTATAATAATTATTCATTCTCTTTTATTATCACAGGTCACGGATATTTTTTCATTGCTAAGAAGAGAAGATAGCTTCTTACAATACCTCTCTGTACAAAACTTATTCATCTCAAACATCTACTTACACTCATACTGTTTCAGTTTAATGAAGAAGCCAGACTGGCTGAGGAGCAGGAGTGTCAAGATGCAGCACTAGCTCACACACTGGCCTCTCAGTCACACTCTCTGTCGGACAGTGATGAAGAGACTGAAGAAGCCAGCGGCCAGGGAGCAGCGCACGGTGTGACACCGTATGTTAGTCCAAGGAAGCCAAAAGTGCTGGTTGGGGACACTGGAGATACCAGAACAGTTGGATCTGGGGTTAATTGTACCTCACCACGTAAGCAAGGTTTGTTTTGGCCTTTACTGTAAATTATTATAAACTATGAGCTACGTTTTTTTTTTTTTTAGTCTTCCCTTGGGGTGGCAGTGGACAGTTGCATGGATTTTCCAGAATTACCTACAGTTAATTTATAATTTAATGAGCTAATAGGGGGGAGAGGGTGTCCGTTAAAGCTGATTATAATTTTCTTTCCTGATTTTAGCATTAACTGATAATTCTGCCTTTAATGAACTTTGTCTGTTACTTGTGAATGCTGTCCAGCCACAGATTTTGTCTGATAAATCTGAAATCTGTTTAATCAGGATCCAATAAATTATTTTTTTTCTGTAAATTCTGTAGATATATAAGAGTTTGTGTATTATTAGCCCTTAAAGTGCTGTGGGGATAAAAATAAGCCTTTTATTTTTTCCTCTAAATTTAAAAAAAATTCTGAAATTGAAGAGGTTATTTTTCTTGTGGTAAAAAACAGACAGAAATTAAATACAGCCTCTCCTCGCTTAGCGACGTACTGTACGCATTTACTGATGCCTCGGACTTATGTTGGGCACTCTGATCAGTATTCATATCTAAATAATGTGTATTAGAGCTGATTTCCTCCATTCTGTTTATTTCAATATACAGTACACTAATGTATAAACATTTAAAATTATTCCAGAAATGTTATAAATGGTGCAAAGGTGACATTAAAACAATATCAAAGATGGTTAACACAAACTCACTACAGTGGAACCTCAAAAATCAAAGGTATTACATATCGAACGTTTCGAAAATAGGACCACTTTTTCGGACAAACTGTGTCCCTATTATCGAACGCGCCCCTATTTTCGGACCACCAGGTATGGGACCTGTCTGCCGCCCACTCTGTCCGCCTCCCCGCGCAGGCGCGTGAGCAGTCTAGCTTTGTTTATGCTTGAGTGAACACTAACCTGCGCTCTCATTCACGCATTTTACGATTATTTCATTGTGTTTAGTGCTTGTGGGACTGTGAAATAAGCTGCCATGGGCCCAAAGAAACTTGCTAGTGGTACCCCTGTGGTAAAGAAAGTGAGAAACACCATAGATATGAAGAAGGAAATAATACAAAAGTATGAGAGTGGTGTGAGACTTGTTGAGCTTGCCAGGATGTATGGGAAAAACAAGTCGACCATCGGTTCTATCCTGTCAAAGAAAGAACAACTCAAGGAAGCTGATGTTGTGAAAGGTGTTAATATAGGGAGTGAATGAGGTGCCTTCTTCAAAGATTAAGGAGATTTGTGCCAAGTGGAATGATGTCCAAATGTTTGTGCAGAAGTACCACCCTGAGCAAGCTGAAACAAGCCATCTTTGCAACAAGTTCAGTGACAGAACCATGTCCCATTTTAGGGAAATGTTAAAGAGGCGCCAGAAACAGAGGACTGTAGACAGTTATTTTGTGAGACAGGGGTCCAGTGACTCTCAAGCTGGTCCTAGTGGCATTAAAAGACAGGGAAGGGAAGTAACCCCAGAGAGGGCTTTACCTGAAGTCCTCATGGAGGGGGATTCTCCTTCCAAACACTAACTCCAACTCCCTCTCTCCTCCTCCTTATCTTCCAGATGCCATCACCAATCTTCAATAAAGGTAAGTAAAAATGTTATTTTATATGTATTACTATACATAATTAAAAACTATAGTATTTGTTGTATGTAAAACTGTAATTAATCTCTATAAAATGTATTTTTTGTGTGAATATTTTTGGGTTTCTGGAACGGATTAATTGTATTTCCATTATTTCTTATGGAAAATATTGCTTCGAATTTCAGACTTTTTGAATTTAGAACTAGCTCCTGGAACGGATTAAGTTCGATTTTTGAGGCTCCACTGTACTATTATAGTATGCTCCTCACTTAGCGAGGAATTCGTTTAACGGCGTGGTCTTAGGATTGGAACTCCGTAGTTGAGTGAGGAGAGGCTGTACAAGCAATATTTACATAATTACACAGCTGCGAAGTTTGCATTTTTGGCAAGTGGGTTGGCAATGTTGGGTCCTGCTACTTAATTTACATTTATTATTTACATCATAGTCACTCATTAATAGTGTATACTGTTCTGGGCTTCCACTATAAAGCAAAAATCACTGTTACAAAGCCTTTTTTCCATTTTCAAATACAGCAGAACGTTGGTTTTCATGATTAATCTGTTTGAAAGAGCCTGACGAAAACCAAATAATATGAAAACTGAAGCAATATTTTCCATAAGAAATAATGTAAATCCAATTAATCTGTTCCACACACCCAAAAATATTAACAAAAAATACATTTTATAGAGAATAACTATAGTTTTTACATACAGAAAACAATGAGAAATAAATATAGTGTATATGACTAATGAAATGTATAAATGAACATTTAACATCACTTTTGCCTTTATTGAAGACTCTTGTTGGCATATGGAAGACAGTGAGGAGGGGAGGAGGGAGGAGGGAAAATTTCTAGGAATCCGCCTTGACAGTAGCCTCAAATTCCAAACTTATATACAAACAAACAAACAAAATTTATTTCACAAATAACCCGCACATAAAAGAGAGAAGCTTACAACGACGTTTCGGTCCGACTTGGACCATTGACAAAGTCACACTAACAGAGGTGGAGCTGGACGGCTATATATAGGCAGGAAGAGGTGTAGTAGTTAGTAGTAGTAGTAGTACAAGAATTGTATATAATACCGACAGGATGAAATTAAGACACATGCACAACATCCGGGCATCCCCATCGTAGACGTTTTGCCATCCAGCCAGCCACTGGATGGCGAAACGTCCACAACAAAGACAGCCAGACGCCGCACATGTGTCTTAATTTCAACAGTAGTTGTAGTAGAAGAAGAAGAGGTAGTAGTAGTGGTAGCGGAAGAAGTGGGAAATAAGGAAGACGAGCCAGTCAAATACAAAGGAAGGGGAGCACTGCAAGAGAGCTAGATACCCACAGAGGGAGAGCAAGCGCACAGAGGTGCATGAAAGGGGAAGTGGTGAAATAAAATAAATGAAGAAGGAACAGAAACACGAGACAGGAGAGAGAAAGACAACCTTCTTCATTTATTTTATTTCACCACTTCCCCTTTCATGCACCTCTGTGCGCTTGCTCTCCCTCTGTGGGTATCTAGCTCTCTTGCAGTGCTCCCCTTCCTTTGTATTTGACTGGCTCGTCTTCCTTATTTCCCACTTCTTCCGCTACCACTACTACTACCTCTTCTTCTTCTACTACAACTACTGTTGAAATTAAGACACATGTGCAGCGTCTGGCTGTCTTTGTTGTGGACGTTTCGCCATCCAGTGGCTGGCTGGATGGCGAAACGTCTACGATGGGGATGCCCGGGTGTTGTGCATGTGTCTTAATTTCATCCTGTCGGTATTATATACAATTCTTGTACTACTACTACTACTACTACTACTACCACCACCACCTCTTCCTGCCTATATATAGCCGTCCTGCTCCACCTCTGTTAGTGTGACTTTGTCAATGGTCCAAGTCGGACCGAAACGTCGTCGTAAGCTTCTCTCTTTTATGTGCGGGTTATTTGTGTATTGTTCCAGTCACGGTATTGTGCCTTTTTGTTATTTAAAATTTATTTCTTTGCAAGATTACATTGAGATTATGAAATTACAATAATGAGTTGCAGTGCAAAGAGAGCCACTATCATGCCTAGGCATTATGGGCAGACTTAATTTAATGGATTACAGACTACTTAATACTAGAGAAATTGATCATAGTTTGTTTATGTTGTACATCTTTTTTATATTTATAGTTTAGCACTCCTTTTTGATTATAATAAAATAATAATAATAATAATAATAATAATAATAATAATAATAATATATTTATAGTTGACAGTAATTTTACTCTACAATAGTTTCAAAAATAAATATTGAAATTATATTATGGGATTATAACATTGTGAGTTGTTGAAAGTAGTTTACAATATGGGAATGCTACAAACTAGGTGTAAGGCAGTATTGTTTTGGGTAATAGGTAATTGGGAGATTTTTGGTAAAGGTAAATATTGAGTATTGAGTATTTAGTTTAGGGTGAGTAGATGGCTTTTGAGAGGAGCCTTAAATTAGTGTTCAGATCTGGTTACTTTAGTATTTACTGGTAATGATTTCCAAATTTTGGGGCCCTTTATGTGCATAGAGTTTTTACACAGGGAGATATGGACACGAGGTAGGCATACTATCAAAGATACGGTACTATGTTCCACAATCAGCTCTCCTTGCAATGTATCATTCACTCATATACCCTTATCTCACATATGGAATTTGTGCATGGGGATCAACAACATTAAATCACCTAAGGCCACTAATAACCCAGGAAAAGGCTGCAGTCAGAATGATAAATTCCCACTCCTGACAGCATACTCCACCAATATTCAAAAGTCTAAAACTGCTCACCATAAAAAACATCCATACTTATTCATGTGTCTACTACATACATAGAATACTACACTCAAACATAAACCCTCTGCTCAAACTTCTCCTCACCAACCTTAACAGGATACACGACCATAACACGAGACAGATCTCTTTTTGATGTACCCCGTGTCCATATCGCACTGTGTAAAAACTCTATGCACATAAAGGACCCCAAAATTTGGAATTCATTACGTACCAGTAAATGCTAAAGTAACCTGAACTGAACATCAATTTAACCCTTTCAGGGTCCAGAGGCCAGATTTCAAAAGTGCGCACCAGTGTCCAAGAATTTTCAAAAAAATAGCTTTGTTATTTTTTCTTATGAAATGGTAGAGAATCTTTTTCTGAAGGTAATAAAACAAAAAGTACGAAATTTAATGGAAAATTGACGAAATTATGCTCTCACAAATTTTTATATGTCAGCAATATTTACGCATCGGCGATTTTGCCAACTTTGACTCCCATTTTAGGTCAATTACCTTATTCCAGTCGATCAAATTCTTAGCTATTTCACTAGTATTACTTCTATAGATTGAGCACAAGAAATTGCCAACTCAGCTGTTTCGACTACAAAATAAAGTGAGTGGAAATTGGTAATTTAGCCAGTT